GTGTGCTCTTATTCTGTCTTCTTCCCATCTCTTCTTCCAGTGGGTGCAGGTGGGGTCTTTGTCTCCTCTGGTCTCCTTCCTTCCTGAAGCTGAAGCTGGGGACGCTGACACTGAAGCTGAAGCTGAAGCTGGGTTCGCCGGAGGTTGGGGCCTGGAAGGGCTGATATCTTTCCTGAAGCTGGGATTGCTGGAGGTTGGGGCCTGCCTGGGAGGGCTGAAGTCTTTCCTGTGTGGGCAGGTCTTCTGGATGCCAGGAGCAGCCCCAGGAAGATGGAGGGGATGGGTGTTGGGCGCAGGATGGGGAGTATCCCCCCGGAGACCCAAGCTCACCTGAAACTGGGATTGCTGGAGGTTGGGGCCTGGAAGGCCTCAGAATTATTTTTAAATCAGTGAATGAGTGGGCTGGTTGCTAGTTAAACTTTTGTGTGATAGTTATACATTAGTCAAATTTAAATCTACATGTGTTTATAATAATGAAAATTCTCCCATAATGAAATACAGATCAGTATCAGTATATTGCTAATTGGAAAGGTACAAGTCATATGTGAACAGAAGAAAGTTTACAATTGAAAAGATTGTAAACATGAATTAGGCATGTTCCAAAGTGACATTAACTTATGAAATAGTCCTTTGGAAATCACAGGAAATAGTATGTGACCTCAAAAAGAAATGGTATGGATGTCTAAAGGCACAAAAATATGCAAATGTGACATAAATATATCAGGAATCACAAAACCCAAATGGACCTTTTACTTTAAATTTGAAAGAATGCACAAATTTGAGAACATGCTTATGTTAAATTGACCCAAGAACATGCAGATAGTTTTTGATGGACTGAGATACAAAAATTGATCATAAAATACTTTCAAATGGGTTTGAAGAAAACAAAACAGTAATTCCATATGAGGAAGATGGATTCATCCCAGAGATTCAATTTTAGTATACCCAAGCCGATGAACATAATAATCAAATAAATAAGCCCAAGTTCCCAGTTCAGGCACCGAAACTTTTGATAAAATTCACTGTCCTTTTGTTATGGAGTTTGTGACCACTGGGAAAAGACCATAGGCCCAATCCAACTATAACGAAAGGATTCATTGGTTGGTTGCTAGCAGGATGACAGTCTCTGAACCAAACTTGAGAGTTCTGTGAGAAGGGGGTTGAGAAAAGGGATTTTAAAGGCGAAAACTACAAGAAGATCTTCAATATCCATAAAAACAAACAAACAAACAAACTAACTAACAAACAAAAAAACAGGGTCTTCTCTTGCTGTGCTAAGTGATCAAGGCAACTGAAAACAATCCTTGGGTTTCTGCCTAAGCAAGCCACAGAAGCCAAAAAAGAATTTAGCCATATCATAACAGGTAGATGGTCAAGGCTGTACACTTCTGGGTGGGGGTTCACTGAGAACTTATCTTCCAGGGGCTGGAGTCAGAGACAAATGGCTAGTGGGGACTAAGATGGATGTCTGGATTAAATTGGAGTTTCTTTAGCCATGACACCTTCATGATACAGGCCTGGGAGATGTGAGGAAAAGAAGCAAGATATCTCAAGATAGAAACAGCTTTGTAAGGCAAACCAATAACCAATGTTACACCAAATGGGAGAAAATCAAACCATTATTACTAAAATCTAGAATAAAATAAGGATGCTCACTTTCTCCACTCTCATCCAATATTCTGCCCAAAGTGTTAGCTGTGGCAATAAGACAAATGAAGGAAATAAAAGGGATACAAATAAGAAAGGCAGAAATCAAAGTGTCTTTACTTGCACAGTATACGATTCTATGAGTGACATTGAAAGACTCTACCAGAAAACTCCCAAGAATGATCAACACCTTCAGTACTGACACACAAAACTGACATAGAAATTAGATACAGGGAGTTCAAACTAGAATTTAGTGCTTGAACTTTGGGTACAACGTACTTATTGAAGCTGGTGGTAGAAGTTGAGGACCAGGGCAGGCTACACAGCATTTGCTTAAGCAGAACCAAGCAGAGGGACTGGATGCTTACATGTGTAAACATCAAATTTCCATGAAAAAGACCCATCTATATGTTGTATTTAGATTGGGAATGCTTGCACAACTCCATGTGTTTCAGGGTTCGTTCTCAGCTAAGCTCTATTACAAGGTTATGGACCCTTTAAAAATGTGCCTGGCCTTTGGGTCACCGGAAGCATGCCCTTGAAGGGACCAAGCCTATTCTTTATCGTTCTGTCTTTAGACAGGCAAGATTTCTTGCTACTGACCCTGTAGCTAAGGATGTCTCTTACCTTCTGGGTCTCCTGCCTCCACCTACCAAACCCAGAGATTATGGGCCCAAAGTACCACACAGGTGATGAGACGCTGGAGAGGCAAGGGCTTGTGTGTGCAAAGCAAGCACCCTGCCACTTGAACTCACTCCCTCTCTCTTGTTTGCTCAGACCATGAAGAAGCTAACGGCTCCACTCAGTGTTCCTGAGTGATACCCTCTCTCACCACAGGACAAAAATCCACAGGATCAAGTCACTGTGGGCTGAAGCCTCCAGCACTGTGAGACAAAGTAGACCGTTTCTCTTTATACTCTAGTGATCTCAGGAGTTTTCATTAAAGAAAGCTGACTACCATGCCACATCCAGCTCATTGTAACTCCCACTCTTTCTGAGGGAGCTGTTGATTCTCTTGATACCCACAAGAATAAAGAGAGAATAGAGACTGGTCTGCCTTACAGAACTTTGTAGGAAGGAGGAAGTGGATACACATGCCTTTAATGCCAGCATTCAAAATGCAAAAGCCAGTTGATCTATCTCTGTGGGTCTGAGTCCAGCTTGGTCTGCAAAGATACTTTGTGTTTTTAGACTCAGGTATCTGTAATAGGAAACTGACCTAAAACAAACAAAACACTCTTAAAATTTTCCAATACATTAGGCCCTGTCTTTATACCGCCAAATCTTCCATAAACAAACACATATTTCATAATAAGTCCTGTAAACTTTGTTGGCAAGATGATCAGGGGTCTATCCATGCAATAATTATCTGTAGAAATCCTTCCACAAGCATGCGAAGAATGCAAAATCAAGACATGTCCGTGGAACAATTTGTACAGATAAGAAGAAATGTGAAGACCGGGCTGGTGAAACCCACAGAAACCGCTGACCTGAACAAGGGGGAACTCATGTACCCCAGACTGATGGTTGAGAGGTCGGCATGGGACTAATCCTGACCCCCCTAAATTTGGGTGTCAGCAAGGAGGCCTCAGCAATCTATGGGGCCTTGGGCAGTAGATCAGTATTTATCCCTGGCATCCAAATGGACTTTGGGAGCCCATTCCACATCGAGGGATGCTCTCTCAGCCTGGACACATGGGGGAGGGCCTAGGCCCTGCCTCACATGATATGACAGACTTTGGATATCCCCCATGGAGGTCCTCACCCTCCTTGGGGAGCAGAGTCGGGATTTGGTGGGGGGTTTAGGGGTAGTGGGGGGCGGGGGAGAAGGGTGAGGGATCTTGGATTGACATGTGAAGCAAGCTTGTTTCTAATTTAAATAAAATATTTTTAAAAGAGGAAGAAGAAATATGGCGTGGACAGCATGAAGACAATTGCTGCTTGACAAATTTCCAGCATTTCTACACTGTGGATCACAATTTTTCCACTGTGTTTTATAGGAGTTCCTGTTGCAAAATATTTGTACACTGTGTGAAGATGTGTCGATGTGATTGGTTTAAAAAAAAGGCTGAATGGCCAATAGCTAGGCAGAAAAGATAGGCGGGCCTCCCTTGCAGAGAGAGAGGAAGATGAAGAAAGGATCAAATCACACAGGAGATGTCAGGAGACACAGAGCAAAGCAATCAGAATATGCAGGAGAAGTGGTAACAGCCAAAAGCCACGTGGCAGAATGTAGATTAATATAAATGGGTTAATTTAAGCTATAGAACTAGTTAGGAATAAGCCTAAGCCATAGGTTGTGCTTTCATGATTAATCAGAAGTCTCCATGTCATTATTTTGGAGCTGGAAGGACACAGAAAGACTCATATGGTATCCAACATGAGGCATGTATTTCCACATAGGACCCGAGAAAGCTTTTTTAAAAGTTCCGAACACACAAACATGAAGCCAGACTGCAGCTATCCCTGCAGTCTCTCAGGTACTCCACAGCATAGAGAACATGGCTTCCTGCTGCCACCTGCAGGCTTGAGCCAGCCATCACCATGTGAAGAGCCACGGTGGGTTTAACGTTTGGCTCATGTGGTTAAAAACACAACAGACACTTAATAAGCCAGGTTCAATCCAAGCAAAACTCTGAACTGATTGCAGTATTTTTAAGGTGCTTAGGTGCTGAAGAAAGAAAGGAAAATGGGTATAGACCGTTATGAAAAAAAAAGTTTAAAAATAGTCAAGTGAAATCTTTAAAGAAAAAGCTTTAAAAATAAAGCCATGTAAGGATGCAAAGTATTATAACACAGGGAGTTTGGACCTTATATGGTTCTTTGTTAATGTTAAATTGTAAATGTTAGTAAACAGCGAATGGCAGCTACTGAGAGACAGTGGATTATAAAAGGGACCGTGGAATTAAACCAGCCTATACACTTAGTTGCATTGGGAGAGAGGTTGTGCTTTTGTTTCCATAGGAAATGAAAAGCTGTGAATTCCTTTAAAATTAATAGAGGCCAGATTTGATTGGGAGAGATTTCCTCAAAGTCTTAGCTACAGACATAAAGAAATAAAATAAGAAAATCTACAAGACAGGTGATGTTTATGCTGATCCTTCAACTATGGGAACAGCTCTGAGACTGGGTGAGACATGATAAGTCTTGTTGGCTACAGAGTCCTCATGACTTCCTATTACATACCATCCATCCTATCATGGATACAGGTTTGGATATGCAGTCCAAACAGGCTTTAGAAATTTACATAAACCTTTTACCTGCTCAAACAGAAAACAGAAAATCATCTTTAGCTGACTTGTGCACACCACATATTCCATATATAACTTACCTTTAAAAGTTTGTGTTTTCAGAAAAAAGGACCAGATACCAATGAAAACAAGTAGCCCAGATGATTCAGCCTCTCGGAAAGCCTCTATTGCAGTTTCCTCAAAATTCTGCATCTAGAACAACTTCAAAGTCACTAGCTAAGATGATCCAGCCTCAGAGACTACTCTAACTAGGACTTCAGAAAAGCCCTGAACAGACACTGGACAACAAAAGTTACAGCAGTTTTCCGAGGACTTCTCAGGGTCTTCTAAAGATGCTATCACCCCCAGACAACAGGAAGCAGTCTAGAAAACACAATGCCCACATTCCCAAGAGGTAGGGTGGATGGTTTTTGGTCATTCAATGGGTTATGGATATTTGTCATCATTTAAAGGAGTTGGTTATGAGTTGTTATTGGCCATCGTCAGAGAAAAGATAAACAAAGAAGACTAAATTTAGACGTCTCCTTCTGAAAGGAAAAAGGGGAGATACAGTATAGAAATGATGGGATAAAATGGTGGATTGTTGAGTCTACTTTTGAGCAATCACTGGTCCCAACTATTTTATATCGATATGGATTTTTGTATATTGATATAAATTTAAGGTTATTTTTGTTATGCTATGTATGTTTCTATTCTTGTTTAAGGTATTGTACCTATACCGTTTATTTAAAATATATAAAGTTCTAGTCCTTGAAAGCTACTCAGGATAATACAGGTTAGTAGTTAGTCATGCATAACAATCGAACTTATAGTCATGTTAGGTATGTTTTCAAGGTCAAACAGAGTTTAAATAGACAGTCTTTAAACACTTCAGAGACCTGCAGAATATGACATTTAAAATGTTTTAATAACATAAAGCTTTTCATGACAGTGAGACACATGTGCTCCTGGCGTCACCATTTACTTCTAGAAGGATTATGGGCACCAAAGAACTTCCATATGGAGTTTGCTTTTATCATGGCAAAGTTAGCCATTGGGCAAGAAACTGCCGTTGCCTCAACTTCTGACAGTATGCTGTCCAAACTGTACAAACAGGACACAAAAGAAGGAAACTGCTGAACTTTGCCAAGACAAGGTAGGACAGTCCTTCAAAATTCCTGCTTCAAGAAAAGTCTGTCAGATATTCTAAATCTGTAGTCGGAAGATAGATGCCCCAACATTGCACAGGAATCTTGGGTGACTGTCCGGGAAGCCAGCTGTTTCTGTCTTCTGTCTTTGCTATAGTTTTGAAGCTGCTTGCTCTGTACTTGTTTACTCAGGTAATATTATATCCTTCTTGAGTCTTCAATTTGGTTGAAGACTAGGTAGGTTTAGTTACAGTTTTCCTTGTTACCAAATTAAAAAAACTAACAAAAAGAGGTGTAAAAGTATATAAGCTTGAGAGACATAAAAACTTAAGTTGTATATCTAAGAAAATGTTTTAAGGTCTAAAAAGATATTTTTAGGATGGGAACACCAAGTTGTGATAAAAAAGGCATAAGTATAAAACTTTAGATTTATAAAGACAGGATAGATAATAAAATAATGTCTCCAAATTTTCCTAATACAAATGGACTGGGCATTGTAAATGTAATTCTTACTTAATAATTGTCCCTATTGTATACACCTTCACTGTATCAGAGTTAAAACATTTCCTTTTTATTTAGACAAAAGGGGTATGTTATGAACTAGTTGTACACTGTGTGAAGATGTGTTGCTGTATGTAATTGGTGTAATAAAAACCTGAATGGCCAATAGATAGTCAGGAAAGATAGATGGGCTTTCCAGACAGAGAGAAAGGAAGAGAGGAAGAAAGGATCGAAGCTTGCAGGACACTCAGAGCAAGCAGGGTGTGCAGGGGGTGGAGGTAATAGCCACCAGCCACAGGGCAGAATGTAGATTAACATAAATGGGCTAACTTAAGTTAAGTTAGGAACAAGCCTAAGCTAAAGGCCACACTTCATAATTAATCAGAAGTCTTCATGTCATTATTTAGGAGCTGGTGGGACAGAGAAAGACTCATTACAAATTCCCTTGTGCCTCTTCCTTTGGAAAATTTTGTGTGGACTTTGAAGGAGGAAAATGTATGAAATGGCAACCGTTTTAAACAAAATAATTCTTTGGAAAAAATACCTGCCACCATGGAACCATATAGTGTGTTGACTCTTCACACAAGAATCCCCACTGTGCCCTCCTGATTACACCAAGAACAGGAAAGTTAGGGATTTACTAACTGAGCACATCTGACTCCAAGTATGAAACCCATGCAATGCAGATCCAGAGCCTGAGGCCACTAAGGACAAGAGCTCAGTTAATAAGTGTAGAGGAGTCAGAATGATATGATATGAAGGAAAAAGAATGAAGCATCTTTCCTTTGGGGAGCCTGTGAGGGGAACAGACCCATATAGCTGTACCCCATTACCATTTGGAGGTGCGCACTGCTATGGATGTGATGCGTGTGTGTGCACAGCATGCAGGTGTGGACGTCAGAGGACAAACTTGGGCGCTGGTTTTCGGGCACAGTCCACATTTTAAGACACAGTCTCTTGGTGGCCTGGAACTTTGCCACACGAGCAAGTCTTAGTGTGGTGTCTGGCTTTTCCGTGGATTTCAGAGATCCAAACTGATGTCTCCAGGCTCCTGAGGTTGAGCGCTTTGCTGACTGAGCCTTCTTCTCAGCTTCCTATCACCTTCTGGGCTTCCCCAGAGTCCTGCCTTTCTCACAGTCTTCCCTCCGAGATCTCCTACAGATCCCAGGACTGGAGATCAAGGACCTCCCCAGGTTGTTCATATGCGCCCTTCATCACATCTCTAAACCGGTCACCTGAACTGAGTCAAGTCCCTCAGTATTTCCTCTCCATGCTCTGAGAGCCTTCTGCGCATGTGCTCTGCCACCTCCTGCCTGGGCCCTCTGCATCTGTCTGGACAACAGCAGAACTTCTGCATTGTCTGGTTGGGAAACCATCTTTGCTATCAGAACTTCAGTTTGCCCCCTGGGGCAGTGCCAGGCAAGAGGGATGGGTGCAGCACCACCTTAGCCTGTGTAGCTGGGAGAGCCAGCGTCCTGTGACTGTTTCCTCTATGGAATGGGGGCCGCTAGAGAAGACCCTCTTGTGGCTAATGTGGGAATTGCAGCCATTGCATAGCACCCAGCCTGGAGTACATCACGTGACTCCCCACGTGGGCGGTGGAGGCAGAAGGATCAGGGAGTAAACTGGCGCCAGCGCCTGCCTGTGTGTCTGTTCCCCTTCTGTTTCTGCTGGAGATGCACTTTTGGCCACTGTGAAGCCTATAGTGTAGCCAAGACAGCCCCCCCCTCAGCTTACATGTGGTACAGGTGCAGGAAGGGGGCGGGGAGAGGAGAAGGTTGACTGTACTGCATTCCTTCTAACCCCTAGTGAAGCAGCAGCTTCCCGATTTTATCTCATTTTTTGTATCTTCCCCCACTGCCCAGATGTGTGTTGACCTGCCTGCCTGTGACTCCAGGATTCTGGAATCTGAGGCAAGAAGATGATTTGTGCTCAGAAATTCAGACTTACTCTAGGCAGTGCAGGATGAAATTTCAAATACCAAATAAAATAACAGTTAAAATAGCTTGGAAAAAGTACCGGAAGTGGTAAGTCAGAATGAGAGAGAAGTTGCAGCAGGTAGGAAATGTGGGGCCGGAACAAGGGGAGCTTCTCCTCGAGGCTCTTTGCTCCTGTGCTGTAACTTTGTCTGAAGACTGGTAGTTTGGGCTGGGAATGGAACCTAGACTTCACCCATGCTGGGCTAGAATTTTGTCTGTGCTGCCTTTTGGCAGCTTCATGTTAAATGCTTTCACAGCCTGTCAATGTGTGCCTGTATCCATGTGCATGCATTTGCATGCATGCAGGAACTCAGGCCCACGAAATCAGAACTTCCGGCATGGACACCTCAGTGGGTGCTGTGACCCAGGGTTCACAATCAGCACCTGGTGAGTCTTAGAGGGCGCCCGCTGAGGAGTCAGACTGCTCGGGTCCTCAGCACTCCGGGCCGTGCAGAAGGCAGTGAGGCATTTCTCCTCCTCCTCTGCACCCTCGGAAATATCAAAGTCTCTCGACCGTGGACTTCCAATCCCACTCATCTTCCCCGGGGCCTGGCACGCAGGAGTTGTGAGGTGAGTCAGGTGAAAGGCTCGCCAACTGTGGTAGTCCTGCCCCTTCATCCTGAGTGAGGAGGAAGAGAAAGTGTGGGATCTGTTGACCAAAAACCTTGGAGGGATGCACTGGCCTCCTCATGGTCCCGTCCTTCTGCTCTCCCTGTCCTGGAGTCCAGTGCCCAGGTGTTAAAGATATAAGCCCTCTTTTTAAAATTTATTTTTTATTTAATTAACCTTTTCATTTATTTTACGTACTGACCACAGTTTTGATGATAAAGAGTTCGATGTGAGCTCTGTGCCCCTCATGTTCTTGCCTGGTCCTTGTGCAACTCAGGTGAGGCAGGTTAAGGTCCTTCACCACGATCTGCTTGAGGCTGACGCCCCTCCACCTGGCCCCATCCTGCCTCCACACAGGTGTAAGACTTTTGCATCAGAACTCTCTGCAGGACCCGCCCAGAGCCGACCGTTCACAGGCCCCGCCCCTCCGAGTGTTCCCCGGGGCACCAGGCATAACCCCACAGCCCATGGCCTTCCGTGTGCTCCGCCACCCTTACTCTTCCACGCAGTTACCCGGAGCTCAAGGCCTTTGTTCTTTCGTTCTTTATTTTGCCTGTGCGTGTAGACGTGGGGGTGCGTGTGCCGCAGCACATGAATGGGAAGTCAGCGGGTTCTTGGGAGCTGGTTCTCTCCTTCCACCAAGTAGGTTTCAGGGAGGGAATTGGGAGCCATCGTTCCAGGTACAGGTGTAAAAGTCCCTTTGATTGGAGATCTCCTCACGCCAGCCCCATGCTTTCCTGCCCTCACTCTGACCTCGTAGGCCGGGGCGTAGGACACTTTCACCATGGCCTCTCAAGGGGACTCCTCACCCTCCACCTGGTCCCTGCAGCCCCACCCTGACTGGCCCCTCTTTGTGCAGCTGGAGGAGAGGCGACAGGTGTAAAGCCTTTTGATGGGAACCTGAGCGTGCGGCCCCTCCCTCATCCTCATGCTCTCCCAGGCTCTCTACAAGTGCCTCCCATGCTAGGCTCCGCCCCCACCGCGGCCTGCCTCTCACACCAGGTGTGAAGTGTGTCAGGGGCAAGGCCCGTGCCCAGGGGCCCCCGCGCGCCCGCCCACCCTCACCTCGTGCCCTCCGCGTGCCCCGCCCTCCGAGGCTTGGAGCACCCGAGGCACGGCAGGTGCAAGGTCCTCGCCAGCCTGTGGCCTGGACGTGCCACCATGGACACATCGCCCGCGTCCCCAGAGCCCTTCCTGGCCGTCCCGCAGGCTGAGGTGCTGCAGGAGCTGCTGCAGGCACAGTTGGGGCCCCTGCCACGGCTCGCGGCCATCTGTAGGCTCAAGCGGCTGCCCTCAGGCAGCTACTCCACCATGGACGACCTGCATCTGGTGCTGGAGCGCAGGCGCGTGGCCAACGCCAAAGAGCGCGAGCGGGTGAGGGTCCAGGGCCGCCTCAATCCCACCACCATGCCAGTGGGTGTTCAACACCCAACACCTGGGCGTGCCTTCCCGGCCCTCCTGGGTGAGGTGGTCTTCGTGAGGCTTGGTGGGGGTCCCAGTGGCCTGGTTACACTGTATCTTCATGCAGGGGCGCTGTTACGCGCCATGGGAACGACTGACATCCGCTAACCCTCCTGGGTGGCACAGGTTCAGCGGAGACAGAGGAAGTCCCTTACCAGCCGCGGCCCCTACACGAAGACAGTGCTTTACAAGCGGTGCACCTTGGAGCTGTAGGTGCCGCTCGGGTGCTAAAGGGGTCCTCTAGGCCGTTTCCCTGCCTGGTGCATCCTGATCTCAAATAAAGGGTGGGTGGGGGTCCCCCGTGGAAGTTACTGTTACTTATTAATTCTTTTAGAATGTAAAGATTCACCTGTGTATATCTTGTATCAGCATTTTGGCTGCATACATGTATGTGTATTGTGTATGTACCTGGTGCCCAAGGAAGTCAGAAAGGAGGGGGTCAGGCTCCCTTGAACTACAGACTATGTGGCTCCTGGGAATTTAACCCAGGTCGTCTGCAAGAACAAGTACTCTTAACTGCTAAGCCATCTCTCCAACCCAAGTTACTGTTTTTTTTAAAAATTAAATTATGCCAGGCAGTGGTGGCGCACACCTTTAATCCCAGCACTCGGGAGGCAGAGGCAGGTGGATCTCTGAGTTCGAGACCAGCCTGGTCTACAGAGCTAGTTTCAGGACAGACTCCAAAGCCACAGAGAAACCCTGTCTCACAACAACAACAACAATTATGTGTATGTGCACCTGAGTACAGGGACTGGAGAGGGCCCTGGAACTGGAGTAATAAACAGTTGTGAACCAACCCATGTTGGGACTGGAAACTGAACTCTCTGGTCTTCTGTAAGAGCAGCATATGCTGTTAATCCCTGAGCCATCTTTCCAGCCCTCAAGAAGCTACTTAAAGGTTTGGTTTGCTTGCTTGCTTTTGTTGTTGTTATGGGGTAGTACATGTGTAAAGTGTAGAGGTCAGAAGCCATTTTCATGGGGTGGGTACTCTCCTTCAATCTTTATATGGGATTTGAAGATCAAATTCACGCTGCCCGGTTTTGTGGCAAGAGCTTTTACCCCTGGAGCCATCTCTTTGGCACATCCCCTCCATAATCTCCCCATAGCTGAATTTATGGTGGGCTGTGTTTAGAGCGGCATCTGCTGGTAGATTTTAGTATCTCAGGCAAAACTTCGGTCCCAAAGACATCATGGAGAAGGCTTGGTCTCCTTTGGCAGTAGGGATAGGACCACATGAGGCAGAGGATGTCACAGAAGTTGGGGAAAGGCTAAGAATGGAGCAGGATGCTTTTTCCAGGAGACACTAGAAATAAAACCCTGTTTGATTTCAAGGCCACCATATTTTTACACTTTCATTTAGAGTAGTAGGAGTCACACTCACAACCCTCTTCTGTGGTTTGGGGAAATATCTGTGCAAGGTCATGTATCAGTGTATCACCATGGCCTTTTGTTTTCTAGATAAAAAATCTCAACAGGGGCTTTGCCAAGCTGAAGGCTCTGGTGCCGTTTCTGCCACAGAGCAGGAAGCCCAGCAAAGTTGACATCCTGAAAGGTGCGACAGAATACATACGGGTACTCGGCTGTGTTCTGGAAGGAGCAAAGGCCTCAGAGGTATAAATGTCTAAACACTTAAAGCCGGGTGTAGGGGTCTGACACCTAGGAGGCTGAGGCGGGGAGACTGCTATGACTTCAAAGCCTTTCTGTACTACAGAGCGAGACCTGGTCTCAAAAAGCCAGCAATTTAGAACAGTAGTGGCCACCATTTGTTGAGCCATTTCTACCTTCCGGGTGCCATGGTAGGCAATTCGAAGAAAACAGTTAACATTTGTTTTATTTGAACCTCACTTGGAGGAAATCAAAGTCTACATCATGAGCATTTAGATAAGTGTCAGGGCTGGCTTTGAACCCAGGCATGATCATATACTTGTAGCCTCCCCGGCCCTGTCTGCTGAATCTTAAGGAATCTGATAACTGAAGCCCCAGGAGAGGTTCCCATCGGAGCTCTTTGTGGCAGCTGTTTCCTGCCAGATTAGCCACTAGACAGGACAGAAAGGGGGCTATATGACTATCTGCTGACCATACTTTGTAGACTATGAGGCACCAGAGTGTCACTAATGTCAGAAGGGTCAGTCATCCCTGTAGGCAGGAAGTGGTTCTGGCTGGTTCATGGTCTGTTTCATGGGCAGGTCTGAAAGTGGGAAGCTAAGATAATTGAGACAAAAGGCTCTACACTGAGGCCTCAAGCCATGCAAGAGGAAAGTCACCAGTGAGGAAAAGGACCCAGTAGCACAGAACCGGGTCATAAAACTGTGGAGAGAGCCAGGTGTTGGTGGCGCACGCCTTTAATCCCAGCACTTGGGAGGCAAAGGCAGGCGGATCCCTGTGAGTTCGAGGCCAGCCTGATCTACAGAGCTAGTTCCAGAACAGTCTCCAAAACAATACGGAGAAACCATGTCTCGAAAAAACCAAAAAAAAAAAAAAACTGTGGAGAGAGTCTTGGGAAACGAGGGTGGAGGGCATTGAAGATACTACAGAGACCGGGGTGGGGGTGGCGGCTAAGGTTGGGAGAAACCAGAACCAGCACCTGGAAGGGGAAAGGAAGCAGGCTGCATGTAAGCTCGAGGCCCAGGGGGCCCAGGGTAAGCAAGTGCTTGGGTTCAAGCAGGGGTCAAGTCCATCTATCCTGGTGGATTGAAACTAGAAAGAAGAGGTCACAGGAGTAAAGAAAGCAGGTCAAGTGGAAGCCTTTTCTAAGTGCAGAAGAGGAGAGGCTTATAGGTGAGAAGAACACTCTAGAAACTTGGATGTAGTAGAATTAGAAGGTTTTGGGGGGTCCACAAGTCCTATTCAGTTGTCTTCTGGGAAGAAACATCCTTTGTCAACATGGGAGTGGGTTAATCTGTTGCTCTCAGTGGGCAGAAGCACAGTGATAGTGTTTGTGCATTGTGCTAACTTTTTGTCAATGACACAAGCTGGAGTTATCTGAGAGGAGGGACTCTCACTTAAGAAAATGCTTCTGTAAGATCAGGTGGTAGGCAAGTCTGGGGCATTTTCTTGACTGATGTTTTATTGTATAGCAATAGAAACCCTAAGACAGGCACATGACAGTTGTGTTTTGCTTTACGGGTTTTGTTTTGTTATTTTGAGATAGGCTAGCCTCAATTTTGTGATTATCCTGCCTAGGCCTCTGGCATGCTGGGACAGCAGGCACAGGCCACCATAACTAATTCCTCCTGTGTTAACTGCATAACTTAAGTGCTGCATTCCTTACAAGCTATGGGCTCTATCCATACGCAGTGCTAAATGCATTTTGCCATTGCACAGCATTGGAGGTCAGAGAACAGTGCAGTCTGATGAGCTGCTCTCTCTTTATCCATGAAAGGGAACCTTCAGATTTAGGAGTTTAGAATATGTTCGTTTAAATCTTAGAATGTCTGACTGGCATGTTACACTGTTTGACAATCGCTATGTTCTCTAGAAACAGGGCCCCGAGGAGCAGACCCACAGCAGCAGACCCTCTGACCCTCATGCATCCTCGACTAGAGAGCTCTTGGGAAATGCTACCCAGTCTACCAGTCATGCGAGTGGCTTGAAGAAAGAAGAGGGGCCGTGGGCATATGGTGGCCATAGCGAGCCCTTGTATACCTGTCATCAGAGCACAGCACCTGCGACTAGGAACTACTTCATTCATCAAGAGTCTGATGAGAAATTCCTTCTAAAATAGCCATGTACAAGGTGAAAATCTCCAAAAACTTTACTGAGATGTTTATGTTCCATGTAAAACATGATTAAAATGAGATGATCTGGGAAAGGAGTTTGCTTGTCTGGAGATAATTGTGTTCCCAAATTAATCAGTAGGCACACGGGGAAAGGGGCTTCCTCCAGAGCCACACAGCCAACATGGAAGGTTTGTTCCTCCTTTTGTTAAGGGTGTGTGTGTGTACACATACATGTATGTGCGTGTACGTGTGTACATATACACACATGGGCTTTGTGTATACAGTACCCACAGAGACCAGAAGAGGGTGCCAGATATCCTTGAACTAGGATTATTGGTGGTGGTGAGCTGTCCTAAGGGAGTGCTGAAATCTGAATGCGGGTAGTCTGGAAGAGCCACCTCTCCTGTAGCTTATTTGTCTCATGCTCTTATTTAACACAAGGCTTTCTGAATTCTTGTGGTCATGTCCCTTTAGGTGATAATAGTTGGTTAATTTGTTTTTGTTTGTTTGGGGGGGTGGCATAAGGTCACATTTTATGAGTAGTAAGTGTGACTTCTCTGGGTTCAAGGGGCCAGCTTTTGTCTGTGCTACAGACCATCTAACCCATGCCAATGTGGCAAATATTGCTGAAATAAGAAAGGCTTGATACTGAGTGAGCCAAGCCTACTATCACCAGCATCCTGCTCACTGACACACAGGGGTGCAGAGGAAGAGGGCATCATGGGAAGTAGTTAAATGGCAGTTGAGAGTAAGCCTAGAGGCAGACTGCTGAGGTTCAAACACTTGTTTTGCCATTTGCTAGCTGCATGGCCTTGCACAAGCTACTGAACCTTAGAGCCCTAGTTGCTGTATCTGCATGTAGAACAGGACTAATAGTTGTATCTATTCACATATAGGCTAACCGAGATTCAGGTGATGTGTAGTGTGTCTGGCGCAGTACTTGGCAGGTTAGTGTTCACTTAGGTGGTCTTTGCTTGTTCTGCCAAGCCTCAGGAAGCTCAGCTCTGTAGGGGGAGCCAGTGCTCTGCTCTAAGGGTGTTTGTACTAGGCCTCCTGTCTACCCAAATGGCCATGGCTTCCATTCTGATTGTCTTTCTAAAGACTTCTGAGCCCATGCTTAACCTACATATTCCTAGTGTAGCCACTTGAAATAAAACCTTTCTTTTGGAGCTAGAGAGGTTTCTCAGTGGCTCGAGCACTGGCTGCTCTTGCAAAGGACTTGGGTTCAGTTCCCAGCACCCATATGGTGATTCACAATCGCATGTGACTCCAGTTCCAGGGGATCTGATCCCTCTGATGCATTGCATGCACACAATACACATACATACCATGCAGGCAAACACTCATACAGACAATAAAAATAAAACCCTCTTGCAAGTCCATGGTAAGGGGCAATTCCTGTTTCCTATATGAGTGGACGGGCATGACTGAAATAGAGGGAAGAGTGCCCCCTACTGGGCTTTCCCCACCTACCTAAGCTAACAAGCACAATGCTCCCCAGGGGCTAGTGTTGGTAGGTACCAGGGTGCCAAGGTGAGACTTGAACTCAAGTTCAGTCCTTGCTGGCCCTTGTTAGATGGGGGTCATTCTGGCATTTTCATGCCATTCTTCTAGTCCTTTGAGCCTGGGTCGGACAGGAGTCTGGGTAGTGGTGGAGCAAGCTGGGCTCAGCAGCACCCCAGCAAATGCATGTGGATGAGGACCTTATTTTCTAAGGATCATGAAAAAGAATTATTTTCTGGTTTTGTTGTTGTTTTGATTTTTGTTGGTTGGCTTTTGTTTTGTTTAAGATAGCCCAGGCTGACCTCAGACTTCAGACACATGCTGTCATGCCTAGCACTGTTTGGTCTTTCTAGCTAACCAAGAGCATGCCACTTCTGTGAACAAAGAACATACTGCATATTTGAGATTTTGATTCACTGGCATGTTGCCTCCATCAGGGATGACTTCTGGGTTGGGTGGTAAGTAGCACTATTTTTGTGCAGGTGCATTCTAGAATTCCATTAACTTAATTAGGAATTTCTTATCCACTGAAATTTAAAAAGAGTTGTTTTTGGACAGGTCTTGTGTAGCCCAGGTTGGCCTTGAATTTCTGATACTCTTCCTTCATTATCTCAGTACTGGCCTTACGGATAGACAAATGCCACCCCATCCAGCCCAGGTTATCTAAAGGGGTGACTTCATAGAATTCCAGAATACTCACTGTGTATCCTGACTGAACACACTTGCCGGCAGCTAGCAAGGGTCTCTAGATTGAAGTATTCTTTCAGAGGGTTCAGGATATAGGTTGTGGCCTCGCCAGCTTTGCTTTGCACAGGTAGCACCCCTTTTCCTGCCTTCAGAGAGGATCTGGAGTATGGAATTCCTGGGGCTGGCGGTGATAGCATTTGGGAGGATTTAGAGACAGGGTCAGAATGGACTGTGCAAGCTCAGCAACATTCCTGGGAGGCAGGATCAGAACGAATCTCATGAGCATCTGCTGAGGCAGGGGTGGGGGTTGCATTTATAGCTTCTGGGGTTGGAGTAGGTTCCCTGGGGACTACAGCCACCCATGCATGGATGGAGGTGGGGCATGAGCCATGAGAAGCCATGTACCTAGTCTGGGTAGGAATTTGATTTACATCAAGGTTTAGGAGAGATTTGTTTAAACGGTTTCTAGTTTAACTAGTTGTTTTTGTTAAGGTTGGCCTTGCATTGGTGGTAGTGTGGCAGTTGTCCTGCCACTGCTTGTCATTTGTGACTAATTGAGGATCTTACAGCACACAAGGCTCCAAATCATATTCTTGGCCTACAGCTATGCAGATTGTATCTCAGGAAGATGCCCACTTTGGATTTTGGTGTGCGGCCACCAATAGCTTTAGCAGTAGATGGTTGTGTCTGAGTGTAAGCTGGGACAAGCTCAGAAGGCACCCACAGTGGAACTAGAGAGACCTAGGGAAGAGGAGCGAGCCCTGGGAGATTCGTGCTGAGCTCGTGACTGCTGTGGTGCAGATGGCTAGGAGACGGTGTAGAAGGTGCCTCTTGGGGTCTTTCCAACAGTCAGGAGTGAGGAGCTGATCCCAGGGTGCTTACCCTTCAGTGACTGCAGCATACCCTGAAGAAGGCTGCTAGACACCAAGTTGGGGGGACAGTGGATGTGGACTCTGTAGTGGTTATCCATTCTCATATTGAGTGACAACATGTCACATTTAGAGTAACACATTCAATTCCTCACAGTTTCTGAAAGGTCAGGAGTTGAGTTTGGATGTGGCGTCACCTGGTCCTCTGCCTCCACTGTGAAGGCTTCACTGGGGAAGGATCTGCTTTTATACACATGTGGTTGCTGGCAGAATTCATTTCCCCTAGGGCTTTCAGACCACGGGCTTCTGCTGCTAGCTGGTGAAGCTGCTACCTCAGCTTTCCACCATGCTGGCTTTCCCAGTATGTTTACCTAACAAAGGTACGCATGCTAGGAAGGCAGCCAAGAGAGTGCCATAGGAGACTTCTATGACTGGAACCACAGACAGTGTCTAGGCTGGTTGGTATTCTGTCAACTTGACACAAGCTAGAGTCATTTCAGAAGAGGGACCCTCAGCTGAGAAAATGCTCCCACCAGATTGGCCTGTGGGTTATTTTCTTGATTAATGGGTGATGTGAGAGGGCCCAGCTCACAGGCAGTGGTGCCACTGTGGGCAGGTGGTCTTGAGTGTCAGCAAGCAGTGTTCCTCCATGGCCTTTGCATTGGTTCCTGTCTCCAGGTTCCTAACTTGAGCTCCTGCCTTGACTCCCCTGGTTAATGGTGGTGGGGGTGCACACCTTTAATCCTAGCAGTCAGGAGGCAGAGGCAGGCATATTTCTATGAGTTTGAGGCCAGCCTTGTCTACAGAGTGAGTGCCAGGACACCCTGTTTCAGAAAAAAACAAACAAACCCTTTTCTTCCCCAAGTTGTTTTTGGTCAAGAAGTTTTATCACAGCAATAGAAACCCTAACATGGCATCCCATCACTTTAGCTGAAGAGGTCAGTATGAGACAAATCAGTCCTGCCAGCAACGTGGATGACTCCCAGGAAGAGAGAGATCTTTGAGGCCATCTTAGAAGCCACCTCGTAAAGCATCATGTTCCTGCTACACCGCCATCTCCTTTCCCTACAGCTACTGCTGCCAGGCATTAAAAAGACTTGGAGCTGAGAAATTATCTTAGTGCAAATCTGTCTGTCAGAAATCAAGCTTTAAGGTGCTTCTGGCCTCTGGGGGTCACCTAGCTACAGTGTTCAGGTCTGACCTAGGGTATCTAGAGCTCTTCTGTCCCTGGTCAAAGAGGCCCAGGCATGTTGGGCTTCCAGGGTGCCTCTGTGACAGCTGGCACCAACAGCATTTCTATGTGATTGGATTTCAACATGACTATGGAATTGAGTGAAAATGCCTGCAGCATTGGTGGAGATGTCACAGGCTGCTGATGCAATTCCTGTGTCCTGTAAGACATTTGAATGAGTCCTGGAGCCTTAGGAGGAAAGGGACACATTTTTTTCCTGCTTTGAAAATGCTGTGATGGCTTGGGAGAAGGGCCACTTTCTGAGTGGGTGAAGGAGAGCTTGTCACCACTCTGTTTCAGTTCTGCCTTTGGAGAGGGTACAGAGTCTCACTGTGTGGCTTTAACCAGATATGCAGATCAGGCTGGTCTCGAATTTGTGGTTTCAAACTTTCAGTAATCCTCCTGTCTCTGCCTCTTAAATGCTGGGATTATAGACATAATCTACCATGGCCAGCTTCTAGTTTGGTTTCAGAAAACCTGAAGTTCAGGGGCAGGGTGCCTAGTTTAAAAATCCTGGCTCTGCCATATACTAGCTGTGTGGCTTGGATAAGTTACCTATCCACTCTGCCTCAGTTTCTCCAGTGAAGTCGGGATAACACTGCCTGCCTCCTGGAGTTCTTCTGAAGACTTAATGAGAAAGACGGTGCACAAAACCTTCAGGCAGTGCTGGGAGCCAAGGAGGGTGTGCTGTTGGTGTCCTGAAGAGATTTCAGATGGCTGAGAGGGCTTAGGAAACAATCCCTGATTCCCCATTGAGGTTCCATCCCAGAAGAGAACCTGCTTTACCTTTCATTTCATGGAATTCTAAAAAGGGGCCCCCAGATTCCTTAGAGTTCTGTTGGGGAATGCTACTTCATACTTCCTTGGTTGTGGAACTTTAGACATAGGTACGGGAGAGGGGAGAGTTCACCCTTGTGACTTTTCCTGTTGTCAGGCTTCAGCACAGAGTGAGAGAAACCAACCAACATGGAAGTGTATGAGAAGCTGTGGAGGAGGTGTGGGGATGAGGGACAAGGTGTGGGGGTTTAGGGAGAACTGCAGAGAAAGTCCTTCTGACAGTTGAGCTGCGTGCCTGCAGGCTCTCCTGGGGTGGTGGCTCAGGGTCTTTCCATATCGCCTCAGTCCCCTCTTGCCCCACCTCCGTGCTACTGAGCACTGGAACTTTGACCTTGTGTGTCAAGCAAGCACTCTGCCTCTGGACTACAGTCCTAGACTAGAATGTCCATTCTCATAACTCTGCCTCTGGACTACAGTCCTAGACCTAGAATGTCCATTCTCATAACTCTGCCTCTGTGGACTACAGTCCTAGACTAGAATGTCCATTCTCATAACTCTGCCTCTGTGGACTACAGTCCTAGCCCCAGAATGTCCATTCTCCTACGCCTGTGTGTAAGGGAATCATCAGAAGACTTGTTTGAAATATTTGTGGGAGAGGGAGATGGCTTGGTGAATGTTCTAGTTTCCTTGTATTGCTATGACAAGCACTAAGACCTAAAACAACTTGGGGAGGACCTACACTTCCAGATCACAATCTATTGAGAGAAGTCAGGAGAGGAGCTCAAGCAGGAACTTGAAGGAGAAACCATGGAGAAATGTTTCTGGCTGGCTCATTCATCCAGCTGGCTTTCTTAGACAGGCCTGTACCACCTGCCCAGGGAACTGTGTTGCCTGCTGTGGACTGAGCCTCCCCACACCAATTAACAATCAAGGAAATCGCCCCACAGACATGTCCACAGGCCAATCTGGTCTGGGTGATCTTTCAATTGAGGCCTTCCTCTCAGCTGACTCTAGAATAGCAGTTCTCAGCCTGTGAGTCTCAATCCCCATGGGGGTCACATATCAGGTATCCTGCATATCAGATATTTGCATTACAATTCATAGCAGTAACAAAGTTACAGTTATGATGAAGCAACAAAATGGTTTTATGATTGGGGATCACCATGAGGACCTGTATTAAAAGGTCACAGCATTAGGAAGGTTGAGAACCACTTCCTTAGACTATGTCAAGCTAACAAAACTCACTAGGACAGTGGGTAGGTAAGATTCTTCCTGAGAAAGCATGAGAGCCTGCCTCCTGATCCCCAACACCAAAGTAAAAGTCAAACATAGCACCAAGTTTCCATGTTTGTGCTACTGGCTGACCAGTCAGCCTAGCCAAGACAGCAACTTACAAATTCAATTAAAGATGCTACAAAATAAGGTGGAATGTGATAGAAAACGTATGGCCTTCATACATGCATGTACCCATATGTGTACACCCCCCAATCCAATATGTACACAAATGTCCATTCCTTGGCCACTTCCAGAGATTTGGGCATTGCCTAACTGCTGGGATCCTGACAGTTGCTATTGGGAACTTCAGAAGAGTAGAGCTTCCCCAGTCTGGCTTGGCATCAGTGACCGGAGGCTTTTCTGGAGGCTGATCATTTTGATACATTTCTAAAAGCTTTGGAAGTGAGTAGCAATTAGGGGATTTTGGAGGAAGTAGTGTGGTGTAAGGCCCCGATTACTGTAAAGTCCTATTTTCCAATCCTGCCACAAGCATTAGAAAAGATCTAGGAGACAAATACCTACTATTCAGGTCACTTTCTAGCAGCAGACAGGCTCACAGAGTTAGGTGGGGGCCTCAAGGTCACAATGCTAGGTAGTGGCAGGTCTAAAGGTGGCTTCCCACTCAGCCTCTGGGGTATAGGGAGGTATACAAGGGGCCAGGGTAGGCAGAAACAGTGCGTGTTGCAGGAGCGAGCCCCCAGCCTAGTTGAAGATGTGGTGAGAATTAGAATCGGGATCAGTATGGTTAGGAATTCAGTCATCCAGTTGTCACTAGCTAGCAACACTGAAAGTTACTTCCTAAAGGCAAGATGTCCGTCTGAGACCCTAAATAAAGATAAAACATAACCCGAGTGTGAGACAAGCTTGGCTTGCTTAGGACTTTTCCAGAGGGGCAGGTTCTGCCTTGGGCCCAGGCTGCTGCAGGGCGCGGGCGGGCGGGGACGCTGCAGTGAGCCGGGATCTGGTGGGGGCGCTGCGCACTCGTCCGGCCCTTTGTCAGCACGCACTGCCGGGAGCTCGCGCTTCTTCCAGCCTCCTGCGGGCTCTGGACTTGACTCTGACTGCAGAGCTGGCCACGGGGACGTGGATCTAGGGCCTTTGTCCCGAGCTGCGGGATGAGCGGGAAGCGCCACTCAGTGGAGTAGCTGTTCTCCGGGAAAGCCGGTCCCAGAGACAAGGAACGCCACCCAGCAGTGGCTGGGGATGGATGCGAGGCCGCTGCATGGATCAAGGTAGGGCACCAAAGAAGGAACAGGGTGGGCACCACTGCGGGCGGATCCCTAGGATGCTGGAGCCACAGAATGACGGCGAGCTCTGCAGCAGCCTGGGAGTGGCTGCGCCCGCGCAGGAGCAGGTTCCTGGGTACACCTGCGGCTCAGCGGCTCTGTCACACTGAGCTCTGGTGATGGGCCTGCATGCGGATATAGGGTATTCCTGGGTTCATGATGCCTGCTGCCTTCTTGAAGGGCCTTCCGGGCCGCCGCCCTGCCACATCCAGGCAGGATGCGCGCCTGCTCAGCTGAGCGCACTGAGGTCCAGATTTACAAGATGCGCCTGCCTGGCTGCATGCGATGGGGCTGGCAGGGCAGATGCAGAGGATGGGACTTGGGTGCCTACAGTTTAGGTTTTTATGTTATCCCAACGCTCTGGGGGTGGAGTAGGCCACTGTCCCTGAGGAGGGGCTACCAGCTAGTTCATCTTTGGTGCCCACCTTTCCTTTCTCTCCTCGTGTTTCCTCTCCTCCCCTTCTGCACCCCAGGGAGAAGCAGAGAAGGTCGCTCTGGGTCCAGGGTCCAGCAGTTACTTGTTTTGAAATCACAACCACAGCCTGCCAGGTGTTGGGGGAAGGGAGGGCAGGATAGGGCAGGGCGACTGCTTTAGGATGACAGTCAGGCCTGCAACTGGCCTATTGTCTGGCTTTTCAGGCTTCCTCCCTTTCTGCCCTTAATCTCCATCCCCTGTCAGAAGTGACTAGCTAAACATATAAAAACAAGTCTCAGCCTACACTGTCAAATCCTTTTAAAAATTGTCTTTGTGACACACAAATCATTCATGCCCACTCCTCCTCTGCATCAAGAGCTAAGTGTCTCAAATGAACGCATACATAATAGAAATCAGATCTTAGGTTCTTGTGTGGAGATTTCTGACTACGGGCAAGGAAGGGCTGGTTCTCCATCCTCCCTGGAGCAAAGGGACAGGGAGAGGGTAGCTCAGCTCCTTTCACCGCACTGGAGCTGCTTGGGGTGGCCATGTGTTTAACCTGTGTTTTGAGCAGTATTTGCATGAACAGTGTTTAAAAAGTTGTGTTTCACTGGCCAACACTCAGAGTAAAGGAGCTTTAAATGACCATAGCTGTAGAAAACAATCAACATGTCAGACTTGCAACATGCAACACCCTTTCCCGCTAGTATGAGGATAACGTGTCAGAAATCATAGCTGGAGTCAGAGGGTTGGACTATTGGATATTTTTTGCCTTCTTTGAAAACATTACTTTGTGGTGCTGGGCGGAACCCCTTGAGCACAGTAAGCGGGTGCTCCCCCACTGGGCTGCACCCAGTGTTTGCCTTCTGTCCTTCATTATGTAAAGTGGACAGATGTCTCTCAGTGCCTGTGGACCAGGACCTTGCCTAGCTCACTCTAACTTCCTTACCTAAGGTACAAGTAGTGACAAACTCCTCACTGGGAAGACGGCACAGCACGTTTTGAAACCCACAGATTAATCACTCTTTTACCCCAAATCTACGACACTGCAAGCCTCCTGTTCTTTCTTGTCCATGAAATCACTCAGGTTGATTAGAAGTAGGCTTGTCCCATGCATATTACTGAACCCTGTATGGATGCCCTTATGTTCTTGGGTCCTGGGCTTGGGGTAGAACTCACTTCAAACATTACTATATTTTTGGAGATAGCAAAACTCAGATTCTTAAAGAAAAAATTTTTGGACAAGTTCTCAATATATATTCCAGGCTGGCCTCAAACTCACCAGCCCCCTGCCTCAGTTTTCTGAGTAATGGGATGTACCACGAGGCTTAGATAAACCACAGCTATTTTTAAAGTGTAACAGATGGTTGTGTGTTGGCAAAGGATTTAAGATAGGGTTTAAATATATATATATATATATATATATATATATATATATGGCATTGAAAACTACATTTATTTAACTCCTACCTTGTTCCACAAGGGATTTGAGAGACAGTCTATAAGGATTCATAAAATATAACAAGGTAGCCTAGTGTAGGAAAAAGGAAGCAAGATAGAATTATAGGCAGCTAAAGAACCTTCCGGGAATTGGGGGGAAGGTAGCTGACCAGCCCACATGTCAGTTTTATTTGTAAATATATTCACTCATTGTTTATCCAGTGAACATTCATAAGAACCTACTAGACCCCTGGTTTGATGAGATAAATGGACGTAGACTCCACCCTGATAGCATTTCAGGACACATGCACAAAGGCATAGACACAAAGGAATCTGTCAGATGCATCATTACAAGTTGTGATAAGCATTGTCCTGGATAAATACAAAACATCACTCCTCCAGAGTATAAGACAGGAGAACTTCTTTTTTATTATTTATTTTTAAGTTTAAATTTAGATTAGAAACAAGATTGCTTCACAAGTCAGTTCCAGGTCCCTCTCCCTTTCCCTCCCCTCCTCCCGTGCCCTCCCCCCAACCCCCCCATTATCCCCTCATTTCCCCAGGGAGGGTGAGGCCCTCCATGGGGGTGTCCATAGTCTGTCATTTCATCCAGGGCAGAGCCTAGACCCTCCCCCAAGAGTTCAGGGTGAGAGTGCATCTCACATTGTTGGATGGGAGTCCAAAGTCCGTGTGTATACTCGGGATGAGTACTGATCTACTGCCCAAGGCTCAATAAATTACCTAGGCCTCCTCACTGACACCCACATTCAGGGGATCTTGATCGGTCCCATGCTGGATTCCCAGGCTGGTGCCTGGGATTCAAAAGTTAACCTTTGTCAGGTCAGCTGTTTCTGGGGGTTAAACCAGCAACAGGAGAACTTCTTAAGAGAAGCAGGAGAGCAGAGTTGTTCTGTATTCCAGGACCAGGAAGGCCCCACCCCCAGACACAACATGTGGGATGAGGTGCTCCATCCTCCCCTTGCCAAGCACAGGGCCAGTTTCATAGGCTTAGTCTGACCTCACGTCTCTCACACCTCCAGTGTTCTGAGGTTATATATGTTTCCGGTGACCTATGTATTCTCTAAAAGGAGTGACTTTATCCTAGTGATAATCTTAACTAATTCATAATGAGAAATGTGTCTCAGATGGTCTTGGGACCAGGCTTTGGTTCTACATTGCCCTGTTAGAGCAGAACACAGATCCGATGAGTCAGTCAGAGCATGGGTGAAGTGAGGGCATTCAGAGTGCACAGGAGAGGAAGAGGTTGCTCTGCACAGAGCGTGGGTTGACCAGGCTCCGGGGAGCAGCTCCTGATGATTACTGCTGTTGGTAAGGAATGAGAGGGTCGTGCCAAATGCACCTTCCCATGGACCAACTCGGAACCATATATCAGTAGCAGCTGGCATAGTGAAAGTGTGATGTAGACATTGCACCTGTTGACTTCCTAATACCTGGACTGATTTCCATCGCTGCAGATGAACTGACTCCCATAAAGTACCTTACACCCAGGCAAGTGGGTATGGTGGTGAAGTGGAGCTCAGTACCTGGTGGTTGACCTTACTAACTCTGAGAGTCTGGACGAGTTAATTTGCCTCTCTGTTCTCCAGAACCCTCTGATGACAACAAGATGTTGCTTTCCTAAGAGTTTTACACATGGGAATCTCGTGGCCACAGACTGACACTCCTTAGACATTAGCAGTGACTATTTTTATTACTGTAAAATGAAACAGCAACCAGTTTATGTAGGCACTCCAGGGTGGCTTGGCTGCAGAATTTTAAATTATATCTGATTATCTTCAAGTGGCTGTGTGTTTAGGGGAGGCTATTAGCATTGTTTTGTAGTCGTGCTGTGAACCATGTCTGTACTGCCATTGTCAAGTGGAGAAAATGACAAAGAGGAGAGAATTGACCTGAGGCATCATTTTTCCATTGTTTTGCTTTTGAGGTAGAATCTTTGTAGTGTTAGCCCACACCTGCTGCTGGCCTAGAGCTACTATGTGGCCCAGGTTGGCCTCAAACAATACTTGTCCAGTACCTGATTCCAGGCGTGAGCCACCACGCCCACCATTGTTAAAGTCAGAATGGTGTTCAGTTTTCACCACGATTCCATTACTCATTTCAGTAAATCAGATTGTATGTGAAACAGTTTAAAACTGAGTTGTTGTATTATTTATACTTTTTGTTTTCTTTTGGTTTTTGTTTGTTTATTTTTGTTTTTGAGACACAGTTCCCCCATGTAGTAGCCTAGGAAACTCACAGGCATAGGCAGCAGAAGGATGATCTCAAGCTTATAGCCATCCTCTGGCTTCAGTTTACCAAGTGCAGGGATTACAGACACAAACCATCATATGTGGCTTGTTCCAGAATTAAAATTTTATTACATGTATTTAGTGTGCCCAAGTGCTTATGTATGTGTCTGTGTACATGGGTGCCACGATCCACATGTTTACGTTAGAGAACAATTAGTGGAAATCAGTTCTCCTTTTTCAACATGTGTGCCAAGGATGGAATTCAGGTCATCACACTTGTTGCTGGGCAAGTGCGTTTACCAGTTAAGAATTCTGAGAATATACATATTCAAGTTACATTTTACTGAAAGTGCCAGAGTTCAACTGGGCTGTCCCTTGAGTCCCTGAGAAACATTGTTTCCCTTCAAGAGGAATTTCTGTCCCATTGAAGCCTCCTGAACTGTGTTGTAGTATGCAGCCAAGATTGTTGAGGTACAATTCTGAATCTCTAAAAGAAACTGCAATACCAGTGTCCAACCTGTCTGCTGAAAGGATTTTAGGGCTGTTGACCAAAAATGACTGTTGTTTTCAACGACCACACCAAGTCCCTCACGCTTGGATGGTACCCATGGAATGGCAAGAAAGGCCAGAGTTGTCCTGGCCTTGATTCTCAGATGAACTCGAGGGAACAGTTTGCACTATTGAATGCCGTGAAAACAATGACATACAAAGTTCAATGGTATCAATTAAAACTAATTTACTGACAATCTTATTCTATCTAGTTTTCAAAAATTTTTTATTAATTACATTATATTAAGTTATGGGATATGGTACAGTGAATTGCTCTATATATGGAGTGAGTA